TCCTCCTCTCCTCCTCCCGTCTCCTCATCTCCTCCTCCTTCTCTCTCTCCGCCTCCTCTCTCATCACCCTCAGCTCTTCCTCCGCGCACGATACGCAACCCAAGATCACCGAATCCTTCTGCGGCCTCAGAAGCTCACCCAGAGTCGTGTTGCTCACATTGAACGACACTGCAAGCACATCCCTATCCAGTGCCCGCAGCACCGACGCCTGGCCCGCCAGAAACTGCGGATGGTTCCTCTTCGCCGAGGTACTAAAGCCCGCCAACACAAGCGTCTCGTTGTTAAACGAGATTTGGGCCATTGGATGGAACCTCGGCACCGCAAACACATCCCCTTGCTCAACCTCGAACCTCGTGTCCTTGCAGTGGGCCCTCTCCTTCTCCGAAATGCTTGAGCACACAATTCGTATCATGCCTCGCCCTTGCAAGACCACTGCTATTTCGGTTGCCGTTGGGTTCCAATGGGGCCCCATCATCGACCCCTACACGAAAAACAAACAAATAAATCGCCACTTTCTAATATCATGAATAATAATGATTAAAAAGAAAAGGTTGAACAACTACATCAAGAAACTTACTATTGTTAAGTTGACCATGAATAGACCAATGTCGGTGTCCTTGAGTGCGGACATTTTCTTTCGGGTCACTGTCGTGCTCCATCCGTTGCAGTTTTCGAAATCTTTGTCCTCTTTGAGAATGTTGAACAATTTGACACCCGATTTCTTCTTCTTCTTCTTCTTGTTCGGTTCGAATATGTTGTAGCTTCTGCTTGCTAGGAGGCTTGTCATGACCCGAGCTTCAAGATCAAATGCTGTTTCTCCCTTGGTTGTTTTAGAGAGTCGGTGTATTATTGCTGGTGGATTTGTTCCGTTCATTAATTCATCGATCACATCTTCCGGGACCTTATATCATAATTTTACACAATCAGTCGTGTTGGAGAGAAAAACAATAAAAAATAAAGTGAATGTATGAATACCTGGAATGCTGCTTGAAGAACTTGCCTGTCGAAGCCAAGTACCATGTCCCGGATGCTTGAATAAGGTCCGGTTGCTGGCTCCTGCATAATTTTGGGTTCCATTTAAAATTTCAAAACTATATTACAGAAAAACTCGGTTAATGAATTAATATTGGTGTGAAAAACAATTTGGAGCGCTTGTACATGAAGGTCATCTTTTGAGTTAGCAAAGATGGCGTGGATCCTGAGCTTTTGCCGCTCAGTATCGGTTTCCAAATTGCTCTGTATGAAAAAAACTGATCCTTGTTCTATTCTGAAAGCATCCCCTCTCTTTATATCTGTGCTCTTGAGATCATCTTCCTCTGTCCAGCTTAACTTCCCACTCCCTTACATCAACATATCCATAAACAGAAACACATTAATTCATTTTACTCACGATTTTCAAAAGCTCCACACCACACCACACATCCCAATATAATAACAAAACAGATGGGCCTCAATTAAATCACCATTATTATTCACATCTTCCATTTTTAACATAAACTATATTATAAGATTCAAAAAATTAATTTATTCTATTTAATTAAGTGACCGGTAATTGATCACGGACAAGATCTCGCGCAATAAAACATATGAGTTGAGGATTTACCGGTGTGGACATAAAAGACCATGTCCGCATGCAGAAGGGCGGGAAGGAAAAGTGAGTTAGGCTCCAAGGTGAAGAAATGAAGCAGATAGGAGCCGTTGATGTTGTCAGTGGCAACACGGACGGCTGAGATCTCTCCATCCTCGGTGGAAACCAGAGTCCTCCTCTGCTCCCTCTTCACTAGAAACCGCTCCTCACTGGAGATCGTTAACGGAAACAAAATCGCGCACCACAGGCACAACACCAGAATAGATCTCTTACCGGACATTTCTATGCGATGATATTTTAATTGTTTCACAAAAAGTTTTGTGTGTAGTGAAGTGTTGGGGGTTCGAGGATTCTTATTGATGCGAGTGTGAAGTTGTAGAGATGTTTTCTATTACGTGGCTTTTGCATGGACACGTGGAAGTGCGCCAGCGCCACCGGGCAATTTTGTAAAGTTTGTCTTTTCATGCATGGCCGCAGTGGATAAGATAGGCCTTTCGTTTGGGCTCATAATGGGCCTTGGATTTGTTGTTTCTACAACTAGGCTTCTTTCGGGTGAGGTCTCTCTATCTCCAATCAGATCCAGACCAGTTCTAATTTTGTCAACTACTAATATGCCGAAAAGGCAAGGCCTCTTAATTGAAGTTGGATTTGGGCTACAGCAAGTTGGTTTGTAATGTTAATTTAAAAATAATCTATATCTATATATCTATAAAAAGAATAATATATTTTTTTTTTTCCCAAAACGATAGAGGTAGTATATAACTAAAGAGAAATGCTGGATGTACAATATAAGTTTACAACTTTTACTTACAACCTTCCGTGGCATCATAAAACTGAAGATGTATTTTTTTATTTTACATACATAAAGAAACAAATTAAAAAAAAAAGAAATAAAGGACTTCACATCTAACCCGTCAGTTTGCAAAATCCCTAATCGACCAAAATCCCAAATTGACGAGGAAGCCAGAAGATTGAGCAGCCCTCTGCAACACTGCAACAAATACACATCTAACCGTCTGTTTACAAAATCTCTTATCGACCTAAATCCCTAATTGACGAGGAAGCCAGAAGATGGAGCAGCCCTCTGCAACACTGCAATAAATACACATCTAACCCGTATGTTTACAAAATCTATAATTGACGAGGAAGCCAGAAGATGGATCAGCTCTCTACAACACTGCAATAAATACACGCCCCCGAGACTAGATCTTCAGCTATGGTAATGAAAGACGGTGAGAATGGACTGTTGCTTGAATATGAAACTGTTACTACAGATTGTAGTACGAATATAGGTGCTCCGGAGACAGGTATGGAATTCAAAGATATTGACAGCTTCTTTGATTTCTACAAACAATATGCTTACAATGTTGGTTTTCCAGTGAGAAAAAGAAATTCGAGAAAGGATGATGACGGCGTCTTACGATATGTTACCTTCACATGTACTCGTGAAGGAAAAAGAGTGAGTGGCACAAGGGGTTTACTAAGGTCGCAACCAACAACTCAGACAGACTGCAAAGCTCGAATCTCGGCATCTTTAGATGATCATGGTTATTGGAGAATTAACACAGTTCATCTCGACCATAATCACAAATGTAGTCCAACTAAGTCGAGGTTATATCGATGCCATAGAGAATTGAGTGCAACAGTAAAGCGAAGGCTTGAAGTGAATGACGTGGACGGATTTCCATTGCGTAAAAGCTTCAATTATGCTGTAGTTGAAGCGGGTGGATATGAGAATATGACTTTTGTCGAGAAGGATTGTCGTAACTATATCGAAAAATTTAGACGGTTAAGCTTGGGAGAGGGGGACGCAGCAGCAATACAATCATATTTTACAGATATGCAAGCAAGGTGTGCTGGATTTTTCTTCTGCATGGATTTGGATGATGATTCTCGGTTGCGGAATATTTTTTGGGCGGATAGCCGAAGTAGAGAAGCATATAAAGAATTCGGGGACGTCATCACATTTGATGCAACCTACTTGACTAACAAATATGACATGCCTTTTGCACCATTTGTTGGCGTTAATCATCACGGACAATCAACACTTCAAGGTTGCGGTTTGATCTCGAATGAAAATATGGATACCTTCGTTTGGCTTTTTCGGACATTGCTTAAGTGTATGCATGGTCAGCCTCCTCTAAGGAATTATCACTGACCAAGACAGAACATTGCAAAATGCCATTCGGATTGTTTTCCCCAATACGAGACATAGATGGTGTTTGTGGCACATTTTAAAAAATTGCCGAAAAAGTTTGGATGTCATGTAGATAAAAGTTTAATTTTTTCAACAATACATGAATTGGTGTATGACTCCCAAACGGTTGAAGAATTCGAACAAGGTTGGGAGTCAATAACCACGATGTATGAGTTGTATGACAATGAATGGTTGTTGGGATTGTATGAGAACCGTAGTCTTTGGGTTCCATGCTTTCTAAAAACTTTTTTCTGGGCTGGAATGTCAACATCACAACGGAGCGAAAGCATGAATGCTTTTTTCGATGAGTACGTCCACTCAAAATCATCATTGAAATAGTTCGTTCAACAGTATGAAAGAGCATTCAGAAACAAGGTGGAAAATAATATGAGATGGAAAAGGAATTCCAAACAGTGTACACTATTTCCAAATTTAAAGAAATTAAAGCCGAGTTTGTGGGTAAAGCTTACTGTGATCTCATCTCTTCTTCAGAAGGTTATTTTGGGACAATTTACGAGGTCAGAGAAGATTTATTTTTTGGCCACCAGCGCAAGAAAAAATCATTTTTTGTCTATTTCAATAGGGACAAATGTGAAGTTGTTTGTAGTTGTCATCTGTTTGAATTCCGGGGTATTCTTTGCCGACATTCAATTGCAGTACTTATTCGTAGTGACGTCTCTAGACTTCCTGAACGATATATATTACATAGATGGAGAAGGGATGTCAGGAGACCATACACGAGAATTGTCTTGAAATATGATGGATTGAGGAATTCTCCGAGTCAATTGAGGTACGACAATTTGTGCACAGCTTTTGCCAAGGTCGTAGACCTCGCCGCAGACGATAAAGTTCGAGCCGGGCTGATTATGGAATGGATTCAATTGCAAGCACAAGAACTTTCTATGTTAAAACTTACTGGTGAAAAAAATATTCACGATGATCCTACTGGTTTCAAAACTCCATGTAGCGTTGACGGTGGAGACCCAAAGTTGACAAAAAGAAAGGGTGCACCAAGAAAACTTCGGAAAAGAAGTCCGTTAGAGTCGACTCCGAATAGGAAAACGAAGAAGAATGAGGTATCTTTAAGTTTATTCACAATGTTACATGAAATGCTAAAATAATCATTTTTTTTTATTATTGTTTTATGTATTTGCAGGCAACTTCAACTAATAGAGGAAAGAGACTTACAAAAGAGATAAAAAAGAAAACAAATGAGCCAAAGGTCTAATTTTGTCATTAATTCTTGATTAATGTTAAAAATCACTTCATTCGAAAAAGTTAAGATAAAGTTTATGTTACTTGTTTGTATTATAATGTTTTCTTTTAATTGTGTTGTGTTTTTCTTTTTCATTCTGTAAGATGTTGGAATTGGAGACAAGAGCTGAATTTGAGGTGGAAAATCAATCTTTCGTGAAGTTATTAACGGAGACAACAAATTTTACGTCCAATTCTCAAGGTTAAATCAATTTATGAATATGTTAATTTCTATGCCATAATGTATATGTTTAATTATTCAACCTTATGTTGTTGTTATTATTATTATTTTTTTTTGTAGGTAATGTGATTCAACAGTATTCACCATATCAAATGGGGGATGGCAGTGTTTGAAGACAGTTGGATAAAATGAGGTTTCGGTCATCAAGTTGAGAAGAAAATCTTTGAAGTATAGTGTCTGATTTTGTTGGTAGCTAGTGGATATTGAATTGTTTCCTGCTGAGTTTTCTTGTGGAATTTTATGTTTTTCTTTTGAAAATAAGCAGTAGATAACCCCCAAACAACCCCCCTTGTGGAATTCTCTTGTGGAATTTTCAGTTAGGCCTTTATACTCCCTTTGTGCTCCACTTAACATTCCTCAACCACTTAAATTGAAATGCCAATATGACCAACTTACCATACAGTAGGTAAATAGGTTAGGAAGAAGTATTATTATTACTTAATTGATGAGGTTTTTGCAGAAAGAGTTGTCAAGAGATAGCAGATTTCATATTAGAGTATTGACATTGAAACTTGAAAAACTAGTATTCAGAATCAAGAATCACTATTCTACTTGAGAAAAAAAAAATAACAATGACATTTAACATGTCCAAACTCTGCAATAAGACATCCCAATACAATACAACCTTTGCATTCATCACAGAATATGTTTACTGCTTCTCTTGAAAATCCATCCCGTTCCTGCACTCAAGATACATCTCGTCCACCAAACACAACCTCCTCTCTCTCAGCATCTCTTCCACCACACTTGCCTCTGCATCCACCGTTTCTTCCATCTCCTCCGTACTGTACACCTCAAGTTCTTGATCTTATGCCGGGTAGTTCCCGTAGAACCACTCCACGCCTTCGAGTCGTCTGACACAAATACTCTCCCCTAGTACTCTACCAGCGACTCCTTCACCAGCTCTGGCAAGAATTTCACCAGCCCATTGAGCGCCTCCCTCTTCTCGTCCGACGTCGCCCCGCACACTGGGCTCTTCATGGGCCCGCTCCTCCTCATGCCCACCACCGTGCTCAACAGGCGCAGCCCCGCCGGTGGGTCCTAGCCCCATGGACGACACGACCAGCCCATTGTCCTGACAAGCCCGTCTACAAGGGCTATATGCCCGGGACCAGCACGAAATCGAAGGCCCGAGGTTGGTCGTCTTTTGGAGAATCGATCCCGAACAGGTGCGTGGCTGTCTTTCGGATCTCCATCGGCCGCAGATGGCTGCTAGAGTGATGAGCACGACAGATTGCAGCAGATTTCGCCCATCAGGAATTGAAGGTCGAATTTAGGAATTTTGGGATTGAGGGGTTAGGGATTTTGGGATTGAGGGGTTTATTGCGAATGAATATCTTTCTTTCTGTTTGTTAATGCCACATTACTTTTATTAATGCCACGCCAGTTTGTAAAGAAAAGTTGTCAACACGTGTTGTACGTGTAGCGGGACTGATAACTAAAACCGCACAAAGTGCAAAAGGAAAGCAACCAACAACTGATAAGTACAATCAAATGCCTAAAACTGCGAGGACAATTCGAAGATCTTCTAAATCCTAAACTAGCAATCGCTAGAAAAGCAACTCAAACGACACAACACTACAAGAAACACAATAAAAACTACGAAACGATCCCAACGGGATAATGCCCGAGTGTGGGATCCCAACAGGATAATAAATTCACACTCGGGCTCACAGGGGCTAACGACCCAAGCCAAATACACATGACATAGACACACATGCAAAGAGTCCAAACCAAAACAAAAATCTACTACAAAACAAGACAAAGAAAAAAACACAAGCTAAGAAAAAAGCCATTCCACAGCAAATCAGCGACCTTAACCAGCGGAGAACAGTCGATTCAAAGAATAATCCAAGTCCAGAGGACAGCTTTCAAAATTGCCACAAGGCCTATACAAAAAGTCGAGCCCGAACACAGACCAAACTCTGAAACGACCCACCTCCAACTGAGAGAACGACGACACCAGCAACCCACACCTTTACAACCCGAACCCAACTAACACCACTAGTCAGGCTCGGTGGCTCCGGACCCCACCCGTTCCCAACACCAGAGAAACGAGAGAGTGAGCACTAGGGTTGAGCATGAGTCGGTACGGTTCGGTGATTGATAAATCTTCATAACCGTACCGAAGTTCGCAGATCACTAAAAATCGATCTCCAGAACTGTACCAAAAAATCAGTTTGGTCCGGTTCGGAGATTTTTATTTTTCGGTTTGGTTCGGTTCTGTTTTCAAGACTATCAGAACAGTTCGGTTCGGTTCGGATATTCGGAGATTTCTTATCATTTTTAAATTTTTTTTGAATGACCACGTAGTTATATTTTTTTTTATATATTTTTTTTAAATCCAACATTCATCAATACTTCTTCATACTAAAGATTTTATTTTTAAATCAACCTTAGAAGTAACCCTAAATTTTAGTTAAGAATAAATTCAACTAACATTGAAAATTTAAAATTCAAACAAAATATAATTTTATATTAAAGTAATATTTATTTAACCTTTCCATACCATGTTAGTTATAAGATAATCTAAGGCTAAGTATCGACAACTTTAAGTAAAACTTAAATATTTTTTTTTTAAATCTTTAACCTTTCATTCCATTTTTTTTTTTTTAAAGCAGGAGAAATTTAATTGTAGATCAAGTATTACTAAACATAAAATGTAAGTGAATCTTAATTGTTATTACTATATTTTATTTGCATTTTAAAAATTCTCAAATTATATAGGATCAAAGTTGACATAAAATATATTAATAACATGCATCTATTTTTATATTTCGGTTCTTCGGTTCGGTACGGTACGAGACAATTCGGTTCGTTCTCGATACGGAAATTTATGAAATATCCAGAACCGTACCAATTATTTTTTAGGTTCGGTTCGGTTCGGAGAAATTCAAACGGTCAACGGATATTTTTCAGTTCGGAATGATTTCGGTTCGGTTTTTGGAACGGTTCGGAATTCTCCGAGTCCCATGCTCAGCCCTAGTGAGCGCGGGACAATCCTGCAACTCTGACGACACAGCCGCCAGAGCCCCGCCCCACCCGAGAGCCCAAACACCTCCAACACCGCCACAAACCGCCTGGTGACCCGAGCCCCAAGCTCCCCCCACCAGAAAAAGGCCGAGGGAGGCCTCCAGATACAGAAACGGAAAAAGAACAGAGGGAGAGGATTACCACCAAATTGAAGACCAACCGGCGACCGGGAGGAAGATACCGAGCACGGACCGATTCCGGACCGTTGGCTTACCAACTCCATCTGCAAACCCTCGCTGGACTTGGAGAAAGAACTCCAATCTCAGGCGAACCACACCAACATCAGAGGCGAACGACTTCAGGGATGGGCCGAGCGGTCGAGGGCGACCACCGGTCGGAGTCACGCTGTCACCGAGGAAGGCAAAACACTGGAGCGAAAGGAGAGGAGACGGCGGATATTTGGGGATTAGGTTTTCCCTGGAGCGAAAGGAGAGTAATTTATTGAGAATAACTATATCTATAAAAAGAATAACTATTTAGTAAAATAGTGAGCAAAAAAATCTGCCAAAATTAATTGCATGATACTAGGATTTTTTTTATTTTTTTTAACCATAAAATCAAGCAGCATTTAATGCTCCTTTAAATGGTGGGTTTTATTCATTTTAAATCTTAAAATGGCAGCTAATGGTGGACGGATTTTTTCAAATATTCCTTAAATGAAGGATTTTGTTCAATTTAAAATTTTAAAAATCTCTACTTCAAATAATCAACTTTAATTTGAAATTCAATTTCTTAAATACATGTGTTAATTTGCATTTGTTAATTGTTAAACTGATAATCAACCCTATGCATAAATCTCGGTAAGCTTACAAATTTTTGAACAGACTAATTCACTAATGTCTAATTACTAATATAAAAAAATTATTTCACTAATGTCTAATTACTAATATAAATTCCTTATTTACGGTAACAACTTTTTTTTTTTATTTTTTAAAAAAGCTAATTTTCACCTATGATGCCTAATTACTAATTTTTGTTTGGTTGTAATATTATTAATACATATAATATTTTAGTCACATTTAAAAAGAAATTTCCGCCAAAAAACATTAAATACATATGATAAATGTTAATAGAATACAACGCAACATTAAATACAGTCTTGAATTTTTTTGTCTTTACTTTTGCAAAAAAACGCAAAGTTAAATATATTCTTGAATTTTTGCATCTTTAATTTTTTCTTTTAATCTCAGTTAGATATAAAATCTCAATTTATTTGTTATACATATTTTTGTTTGCATTAATTATTTTTAAAATTGATAAATCAAGCGTATGTTGGAATTGTTTGGCTGAAATCTTTTCTACTCAAATTTTCACACACTTCATAATTATTCGGTATCATGTAAATATTTATTTTTTATATAGTAGATAAATCTTCTCTCAAAACATTTCAGCGTGGATAATGTCTTTGTTTAGGCTTATAATATTTTAGATACTTCTAAATTTCGACAATTTTGTTTTTCACATGCTGTCTATATATACACATACATACACACACACACACACACACACACATATATATATATATGCATGTATATGTATATATATGTACACATATTCATATGAAGAGTTAAATTTAATTATTTTTAGACATGTTTTGTTTACAAAATAGTTTTGAAAAATTGTAGGTGACTTAACATCTTTCATACAGATGTGAAATTTAAATGTTTTTATACATGTTTTCTTTACAAAATAGTTTAGAAAAATTTTTGGCGACTTTACATCTTTCAATGTGTGTGGTGAAAAAAAGCTATTTCTCAAGGAAATTTCCCACTTCCTTCTCGCCAAAACCGTTCTCGTCTTCATCCTTCTTAAGTTGCCACCTCTTTGTGGCAGCTCCGACTCTTCTGTGGAGACGTCCTCCTGACGTGGCCTTCACCCTCGTTTCACTGTCCTCTCACCTCCTCCGATGGGCTTTCACGTTGGTGGTTTGAGGTGATGTTTCAGCAACGGGGGTGGGGTTGTGGTCGCGGTCTTCGGTTGGGTCCGCAGACCTTTTCCTCTTCTTCTTTGTCGTCTCCTGGGACTAAGATGGGCAGTTGCTTCTGGCGAATGAGTCATCTGGATTTTGTCCTTTAGATATTTTGTCGGGTTTGTGGTGAGGTTGGGGTCGACATGTTGTCGGGGCGTGATTTTGTGGTTAAATTTTGCTCAGTGGGTGGGTCTGCTCGCCGTCACCATTTCTTGGTGATAGGAGTGGGGGTTTGACTTGCACCTTGGCGAAGGTCTTGCTCGGGGGGCCGTCTTTGACTCTCATCTCCATGATGGCTCCAGTTACGTTGCTCCCGGCGTGCTAGCATTACTTGTTGTCGAGTTGTCTTCGTCTGTTTTCCTGGATGCCATGGCAGCAATAGTGGTGGTTGTTGTCTCGCGGGAGGGGTGCGTGTCTTGGGCTTTTAGTTGCGTGCGGTTATCAGCTGGAGGTTAGGGCTTTATGTTGTCCGTCTTGTTTTTCTTTCGGTGTTGGTGCTCCTTGGGTTGCGGTCGTTAGTTAAGGTGGCGGGATGGGCGTTTTGGCTTCAGTCTGTAGGAGTTGTATGTAGTGGTCTTGTGAGGGTGTTCTCCCATCCGTCGGCCTGGGTCGAGTTAGCCGTAGGGGGAGTTCTTCAACCCGTGTGTTTGGGTTGGGGGCTGTATGCTTCTCTGTTTTCCGCTTTGGAGACAGTTGGGTGGCGACGGTCTCGGCTGAAGGGGAGGGTGTTTTGTTGCTTGTTGTTTTTTTGGTTCTTTGTCGGTTGAGTGGTTTGTTTCTTTGTTTAGTTGTATGTTGTTGTTCTGTGTTTTATTTTCTCGGTTGAGAGTTTGATTTCTCCCTTTGGTAGTTGTGTTAGTCTCCTGTTGAGAACTTATGTTTATTTAGTTTAGTGTGTTGTGTTTAAATTGGTTCTAGGCTAACTTGGCTAGATGCCTTTAGGGTTAGTTTTTCCAACTAGATTCAGCTGAATAGTTGACTTTTTTGGTTATTTAGCTGCTCTCTAGGGTGTAATTATGTATTTTTATTTTATTGAAAGTCTATCGTTTGAAAAAAAAAGACTTTACATCTTTGAATAATAATATAGAAAATTTTAGATACTTTTGCATAGGTTATATAAGATTTTAGGTGTATTTAATATTTTAAACATAAATTTTTTATGTTCTTATATACAAGATAATTTTATATCGTTTACAATAAACTAATATACAGTACACTATATCACATGTTAACCCTCACAT